TTCTAATTTAATACTACACTCACTGGATACTTTATTAGGTACACCTTGCTAGTACCGGGTTGGACCCTCTTTTGCCTTCAGAACTGCCTTCATTCTTCATGGCGTAGATTCAACAAGGTGTTGGAAACATTCCTCAGATTTTGGTCCATATTGACATGAGTTACTGCTGCCTTTCTATCATCTCCAACCAGTCTGACCATTCTCCTCTGACATCAACAAGGCATTTTGGTCCACACAGCTACCGCTCACTGGATATTTTCTCTTTTTCTGAACATTCTCTGTAAACCCTAGAGATGGTTGTGTGGAAATCCCAATAGATCAGCAGTTTGTGAATATACTCGGACCAGCCTGTCTGGCACCTACAACCATGCCACGTTCAAAGTCACTTGTTACCACGCAATTGACAGGTTGTACTTAATAAAGTGGCCAGCGAGTGGTAAATGTTCCAGCTCATATTTTAGGACTGTTTGCATATACCAGTTAGTATGTTAAGCAGTCTGCTATAGGAGCATATGCCATCATTTTTGGCAAAATTATTGTGCATGTCCCATTGCCTTTTCTTTGTCAACACATCTGTCAAATATGACCTAGCAATGAAACGTTTATATCTGATTTTCTTTACAATGGTTTGAAGAGACCTCTTAGGTACCTCCCTATTGTTTATTAGCCATCCTTACATCTGCCCTAATAACAGCTTATACTGCTACAGGGGCAGCATGGGTGCACAAAAATCAAATACAGTCATGGCCGAAATTGTTGGAACCTTTGACTCCTTGAAAATCAAGGATTTTCAACCATCAAAAAAAGGTATTGGCATTAAACAACATGTTTTGCTATAATAAAACAGAGGCAGAAAAGCAAATAATGACATAACTGTCACACAAAACCCCAAAATGGGTCTGGACAAAGTAATTGGCCACCATTAAAATCCCCTTTCTTCCCCATTCTGATGCTCAGTTTGAACTTCAGCAAGTCATCTTCACTACATCTAGATGCTTAAATGCATTGAGTTGCTGCTATGTGATAGGCTGATTAGCAATTTGTGTTACCACGCAATTGAACAGGTGTACTTAATAAAGTGGCCAGCGAGTGTAAATGTTCCAGCTCATATTTTTTAGACTGTTTGCATATACCAGTTAGTATGTTAAGCAGTTGCTATAGGAGCATATGCCAATCATTTTTGGCAAAATATATTGTGCATGTCCCATTGCCTTTTCTTTGTCAACACATCTGTCAAATATGACCCTAGCAATGAAGTTATCTGATTTTCTTTACAATGGTTTGAAGAGAACCCTCTTAGGTACCTCCCATGTTTATTAGCCACTTACCATCTGCCCTGCCCTATAACAGATATACTGCTACAGGGCAGCATGTGCACAAAATCACGTATATTTATGTGATTTAGGTGCATTTAGCATTTTTTGGGTTTTAGCATTTTCTGGCATTTTTTTTGGCCATTTGCGGCCACAGCTTTCACTCTCGGGTCCCAGCCGGTGATTACTCGCCTGCTCCCAGTGATTGCCGAGCATCTCGACGGGGCTGAGAACTGTTAGTAAACATGTTTGGGGCTGCTTAAACAGTTCTCCTCCCTGTCAGCTCGTGCTGCATGGCTGTACATGTAACCCAGCCATTCAGATAGTGTGCTCACAGTGAAGCACACACACACACCTAGTAAAACACACACAGCACAAAATTAACCCTTTGATCACCACAGATGCTAACCCTTCCTGCCCAGTGCCATTAGTACAGTGTCAGTGCATTTTTTTTTTATTAGAACTGATCACTGTATTGGTGTCACTGGGGATGTCAGTGACACCAAGTCAGTTCCCCCCAGTGTCAGAATGTAAACATATTAATATACACGTATTAGGAGTTTTTTTTTTTTTTTTTTTTTTTTTTTTTTTTAAGCAAAGACATGTAGCAGAATACATTTTGGCTTACATTTATGATGAAATTTGATTACATTTTTTTACTGGACATGTTTAATAGCAAAAAATCAAAAATATTGTTTTTTTTTCTCTCCAAATTTGTCAGTCTTTTTTTTCATAGCGCAAAAAATATAAAATGCACAGGTGATCAAATACCACTGAAAGAAAGCTCTATTTGTGGGAAAAAGGACGTAAATTGAATTTGAGTGCAGCGTTGCATGAGCGCAAATTTGTAAATTAAAGTAACGCAGCGCCGTATCGCAAAAAATGGCCTGGACAGAAAGGGGGGTAAATCCTCAGGGGGGCAAGGGGTTAAAATCGGTTAACTAGGCTGTGAGATGTGTGTGTTTGTGTATATATATATATATATATATATATATATATATATATATATATATAAAGTGAAGTCTTGAAGTTGCGCGAGTCCTCTGGAAAGCTTTCACAGTGATGCCGCATTTGTGCTGTGTGAAGAAAGGAAAGCCAATCAATGTCAGTTCATGTTTTACACTAATCATCAATGCCGTGATTATCATCAGCCTCATCAGTGCACATCAGTGAAGAAGTTAAATCACTTATTTGCTAAATTTTATACCAGAAACTAAAAAAAATATATATATTTTTAATTTTTAGTATTTTTTTAATTTGTTTAGAAAAAAAATAAAAAACCCCAGTGGTGATTAAATATCACCAAAAAGCTCTATCTGTCTAAAAGAAAATGATAAAAAACTTCATATGGGTAGTGTTGCATGACCGTGCAATTGTCATTCAAAGTGTGACAGCGCTGAGAGCTGAAAATTGGCCTGAACAGGAAGAGGGTGGAAGTGCCCGATATTGAAGTGGTTAAATGCCCTAGATCGGGGTCTCCAAACTATGGCCCTCCAGCTGTTTAAATACTACAAGTCTCATCATGCCTCTGCCTCTGGGAGTCTTGCCTGTGGCTGTCAGAGTCTTGCACGGCCTCATAGAACTTGCAGTTCCTCAACACCTGGAGGGCCATGGTTTGGAGACCCCTGGATTGCTCTGTTATGCGGGTTACTTCCATTCAACATTGCTAACATGAACAGAAGAGGATAAATCCACTGAAGTATACGTCTTTTTCAAAGTGTTCCGTTTTCTGTAAAATAGCCAAGGATCAAAAATAGTTTGAAGACCTCTCAATCAAATATTTATTTTACGGTCAGTGCTGCCAACCTTCCACAACTTCTTTTACTGACAAAATGCAGACAAAATGAGAGTTACTCACAGAGCACTTTTTTTTTCTTCAAATCTTATTTATGGACTTGAACAAGGTTACAGAGAAGTTTCATATAATACTCAATTCTTACACAGTAATAAAAATTCTTGAAGAGAATTGCAAGTACACCTATGCCGCTCAATTTTTAGCCAATTCAGTTGAATGGGCTGAAATCGCACTGGATCACACCAAAAGTAGTGAATGCACTGCTTTTCAAAAAAGCACTGCACTGGATTGCATGGTACTGCATTTTTGATCTGCATTTGGGGTGTCCATAGGTTTTATATTGACTCCCGCAACAGATCGCTCACCCAGCGCATTTTGGACTTGATGCAGGAAACGCACGTGGAATGCAAATTTCCAGTGTGAACGAATCCTACAGACATATTCCAGTGCTTTCTAAAACAGTCTTCTAGTTTCGCTTTAAACCCCTGATCTGCCAGCAAATGATTTCTGTAAACAGCGTACTGTTCTTGGTTTTCGATTGGAAAAGCTTTTCTTCTCTCATTTAAAATAAGTGAACCTGGTCTTTATATGTTGCTGTTACACGTCTTACACATGTCTGTATATTCTCTTTTAGGCGACACTGATAATTGTGCTATGTAACGATGAACCAGAATTTATCAATTAAACAAAAAAAAAAAAAAAACAAAACTCTGATCTGCATACAAAGTCAGTTAAACCAACTATACATGTTGAAGAAAATTAAATATTTACATTTACAATTATAATTTATTTATTTTTTTTAGATAAAATTTTTCACATTTAGCGCCTCATTAACCATTAAACTTATTCCGTGGTAGATAACTCTTCTTTTTCCCTTAGCTATTATGTAATGATTTTTGAATTTTTTTTTTTTTAAAACCATCAACCCTTCCACAGCGCATTAGCACACAACATACATTGTGATGTCATTCATTTTCAATGGCACACCAATGCACTGCGTTGTAGTGTGTTGCCACGCACTGCATTAGAAAAGAAAAGTGATGTGCAATTTGAAGTAGGTTGGGGTTCGTTGGCAGTCCATTCACTTTGAAATGGAGCTTTAAACTTTTATTTTTAGCAATTTTGTTCATTCGTTTTATTAGTATTAGCACAATATTGATAAGAAAGAGCCTTTATGTAATCTGTAAACCACAATGCGTTGTACCAGAAACTTTAAACCGCGGTCACATCAAGCCCGACTTTAAATTGTGCAATTTACAGTGACATCTCACAATTTCAAAGTGGGGAGACATGCTGATTTCAGTTGTGATTGGCAAGACATCAGACACAGATGTCTATGCAAATGGAAACAAAAGTAGTGCATGTATTACTTTAGAAATCGGTGTGATTCCGACCAAGTCGGAACCACATTGATATGACAGCTGTAATTACGGACAGTTGGGTGAGACTTGGCATGCGATTTGCAAGTTGCATAGCATGCAAATCGCATGCCAAGTCACACCCGATGTGACCGGGGTGTTAGTGTCATTCTGCATAATTACATGTATAATTTTTATCTAAATTAAAAACACTAGTTTTTATACTCATCAAACTAGGAAGAAAAAGTATTCTAACTATAGTGCATAAAAATAAAATTTGTCTGCAAGACAATATTACCGAAAGAAAGCCTTGTTTTACAAAATAAAAACATTTTTTCTCTTATCTTTTACTAAACCCAGGATCCTGCATTCACTATATCCCGGTCTCTCACAGTACACAGAACATGAAAATGCAATTATTTTAGTAAATATATACCTTTTCTCATCAGCAGTATATAGCAGTCTTGTGATTTCTATCAGTGTCTGGCTGAGCACTGGTTAATCTGGTAGGAGTTTTCATTCTCCTCTATGAGGCCCCTGACCCTCTTTCTGGACAGTGCTGATTGGTCCTGTGCTGATCACATGCACTCTCCCAAGGGAAAAAAAAATCTCTAGCAAAACACACCAAACTGAGCATGTGCAGAGTGACTCTAAGCCTCTGTTCTATCAAGAGATATATCGGTGACAGTAGAAGGGGAGGATCAGGGAAGAAAGGATCAAATATTCTTTTTACACAATGTAGAGGATTAACCCCTTAGGTTCCACAGTGAGTATAGCAAGCATGCTTTACTGCATATACAGACCGATTTTACTGTTGTGGGTTTAGTAACACTTTAAGAATTTCTTGTTGAGTTAGAATCTAAACTTTGTTTTGCAAACCTCTCTAGCAATACACACCAAACTGAGCATGTGCAGAGTGTCTCCACACGATGTCTTATCCGGAGATAAGAGGGGAGCACTGGAAGAAGGGGAGGATCAGAGAAGTCAGGATCAAAACAGAGTTTTTTTACACAATGCAGAGGATTAACCCCTTAGGTTCCACAATGAGTATAACAAGCATGCTTTACTGCATATACAGACTGATTTTACTGTTGTGGGTTTAGTAACACTTTAAGGGATGACAAAATAATTAAAGAATCAAAAGGCCATAGCTGAGATAAAAAAAATATGGTCCATAAGATGTATGAGGTACACTTTAAAAATTGAATAAATTCAGGCATCAGAATATAGAATAACTCACAACTACAATTAAGATGTATTTAATATGGGGTGGGGTCTAATATTCAGAGCAAACGGGGATAACCCTGTCCTGGCGCCACAGGCACATTATGCCATTGACTCCTATCCCCATCACCATACAATGGATCTCCTATCATCTAACCACATGCACCGAAAGGAAATATACTCTTTTGTGAGAAATGAACACCTCTGACCAATTACAGCATTCAAATTAAGCACCAATTTGATATGAGCACCAAGCCAGAGGGGGAATGTAGAATATGAGAGGCATTCACCAGTTACAATGTGTCTTCATGTTAAATACTTTCAGACAGAGTAACCAGAGCCCAGTAATTAATACCGATGAAAAGTGGAAAAGCACAAGAGTGAAAACAGACATTCAATAACAGGAGCGGTACAATGTGACTCAGTCATCATGGGCAGGGAGCTAACAGAGGGTTTTAGCTAATTGGGGTATGTGCTTCATAGCAGCTGAATACCGCTGTCACAAAGATGTCTTGGCAAGGGCCAGCATCGGCTTCTGTGTTTCCATCCTGACTTACGATCATTCAAAGATCAGGTCTGGCTCGTATTCAAGCTCTGCAGGACTTGTGCTGAAATCTGACAACAAATGCCGGTTTATGTTAAATTGCTCTCAATCTTTCTGAGTGCACATGTGGACAGACGGGCCCACGGCCTCTCTGCAAATGATCGGCATTCAATAATAACAGTGGCAACAAAACTGATCTTAGGAGACTGGTATAGATTGTGAAAACGTATTTCTAAAAAGTAGGAACCTCATCGGTGAGGAGCAATCCGGTTTCATCTTTTATTCTCTGGTAAAATATAGAAAAAGGAATTGTGGACAAGAAGGTTCCCATCTGTTATGGAGAACTCAACTTTCCCTATTTTTTTTGTATAAATATGTCTAGTTTATATTAATCACTTCAATACCGGGCACTTTCACCCCATTCCTGCCCAGGCTGAGTTTCAGCTTTCCACACTTCTCACACTTTTAACGACAATTGCACAGTCATGCAACACTGTACCCAAATAACATTATCAGGTTTTTTTTTTTATACAAATAAAGCTTTCTTTTGGTGGTATTTAATCACCACTGGGTTTTTTTATTCTTTGTTAAATGAAAAAAGACCGAACATTTTGAAAACAAAAACAGTTTTTTCTTCGTTTCTGTTATAGAATTCTGCAACTAAATAATTGTTCTTCATAAATTTAGGCCAAAATGTATTCTGCTACATTTCTTTGGTGAAAATAACCCAAATCAGTGGATCAATCCTGACATACTAACAACCAATCTAATTTCTTGAGGACCAAAAATGCCAGGACAGTACAAATATCCCCCAAATGACCCCTTTTTGGAAAATAGTCCAACATATCCAATGTATTTAGTAATGTATTTTTTAAACAGTCCAATGTATTTAGTAAGAGGCATGGCAAGTTTTTTGAAGTAAGTATTTTTTTTGGTCACAATTTAAAAAAAAAAATAAAAATGAAGAAATGTACAATTTTTTTTTTTTTAAAATACAATCACCAGTGTGGTACAGTGTCATCATATAACAGATGTGGCAATGATAACGGACATTGACTGGTAACAGTATGTAAAAAAAAAATAATTTTTAAATTTGTTTATGTTTTTCTGTACATTGTAAGCAGAGCATTATAATGTTACCATAGTAACATTGTACTACTCTGGGGAAGTGATTAGGATTTTTTTTTTTTTTTTTACTCATCATGATTGCTTATAGCATTTGTTTTCATCTGGAGGAGGGGAAGAGAGGCTTTCTCAGCTAAACACCCCCTTCCACATGCATGCCTGAGCTAAGGGCAGACTGATTCTAGGAAGTAAATGCTACATGAATCATCTGCCTACACAGTACCATCCCCCTTTCACTGGTAGTCGGTGGCAGAACTTTTAACCCACACAACCTTGCATTGCTGATGAGTGGCCATGTTGCTACTTTTCACCTTAAACACAGTAGCCTCAGACCCCACAGTTAACTGGTGAAGCAATAGGATGGTGATCACAGCAGTGCCAGGCTTGTCACATCTGCTCAGTGATAACATTAGGCAGCCCAGACTGACTGTTCAAGTCAATCAATGTATGAAATGTAGGGTTGCACCAATACTGAAATTGGTGCCACCACTGCATTTGCATGAGTATCAGTACTCAAGCAAATGCAACCATACCAAAAAACTATACCTTAAGGTTCAGCTCTAAGTAAAGAGTCTAGGTCTATGCAGGAGAAAGAATGCCAGCATTTATAAGTTGTTAAGGACTGGGGCTGCCCCATCCTTATCCGCCATTGCTGAAAGAAAGCCATAAGAAGTCCTAATTTCAGTTTGCGAGAAGCTCTGTGGGGGACACAGCAAACATGTGGAAGAAGGTGCTCTGCTCAGATGAGACCCAAATTGAACTTTTTGACTTAAAAGCAAAACGCAATGCATGGCGGAAAACTAACAATGTACATCACCCTGAACACACCATCCCCACCGTGAAACATGGTGGTGGCAGCATCATGTTGTGGGAATGCTTTTCTTCAGCAGGGACAGGGAAGCTAGATGGAGCCAAATACAGGGCAATGTTAGAAGAAAACCTGTTAGAATCTGCAACAGACTTGAGACTGGGACGGAGGTTCACCATTCAGCAGGACAACTACCTTAAAAATGTTGAAAACCATTTATCATTTTCCTTCCACTTCACAATTATGTACCACTTTGTGTTGGTCTATCACATAAAATCCCAATAAAATACATTTATGTTTTTGGTTGTAACATGACAAAATGTGGAACATTTCAAGGGGTATGAATACTTTTTCAGGGCACTGTATCATATTTATTTAAATCCAAGACTATTACTCTAGAGCAGCCTCTCTCAACCAGGGTTCTATGAAGCCCTAGGGTTCCTCCACAGTTTGGGTTCTATGAGCAATCTCTGTCTCTCAGATAAGAAACCACTGACACCAATCATCTATTTGGCCATTTTTCTCATTGACCATCAATGTATGGAGCATTTTTTTAATTTGTATAAAGACACCTTTCTCTAAATGTCCACCAGTTTAATAATGTTCTTCTCTCATTGACCAGCAATGTAAAGGAGCATTTTTCCACTGACCAGCAATGTAAAGGAGAATTGTAATGACCATCAATTAAGGGGGCACTACAATGACCAATTTCAGGGGCACCTGTTCACTGACCATCAATGTAATGAGCAATTTCTCCACTGACCTGCAATGATTTCACTGTCAGTGTTTCATTTCTGGTCATTATTACTACTGAAAATAAATGTTGGCTTTTAGTACACCACATTAATTTTATTCGTAAACCTCAACTGTTTTTTATTTATTTTTACTGTTAGCAGGGATTCCCTGAGTTCCTGTGTTTTTAAAAGGTTGAGAAAGACTGCTCTAGATAATAGACAGTTCATGGTTTTCTCAATTTTCAATGTATACAAAGCATTATTAAAAAGGTCCTTGACTGGGACTGCAGTAATAGTTGGATAGAAGAAAACAACAATCATACATAAAACAAATAATTTTTTTTTTATTAACATAGAATGGACTCTGACATTAAATTCCCATTGATTTACAATATTTACTAGGGCACAGATCTATAGAAATCGCTTTTACTCCTTAGGCACCAACTAGCATCACACATCGCATAGAAGGCAATGAAAAGTCCAATGTCCTGAATACCTGTATTAGAAATGTAACACCCTCGCCAACTTCATCACCTCTGAAGTGCTTTTTGCTGGTAAAATTAAGGCCTTGTGTGATTGCACTTTCATTGACTGAAAAACTATAACACTTCATGTTTCAGATTGATCATGAGCATATCTACTGGATGGTTTACTGATCTGTAAAATCTGCTTTCCTCTTCTCCACGAATGCAGTCATTCCTTCTTTTCGGTCATCCTGAAACACAACCACATTCAATGTTCAGTTCACTACTCGAGTCAATTCACAACTACACAATGAGAACATCCTGAAACACCTTACCGTAGCAAATGTGGAATGGAAAAGTCGTTTCTCAAGACGGTTTCCTTCAGTCAATGACAATTCAAATGCTGTAGAAAAAGGCACCTAATAAGTCTAGCATAGTTGTTCGGTAATAATATATTATGGATATTTTTCACTGTTGGGACCCTTACTTGTTAATATATTTGTAAACGATATAGGGTCTGGAATTAAAAATCCCATTTCAGTCTTTGCAGATGACACCAAGCTGTGCAGTGGAAGAACGTCCTTACAGGATGTCTCCAACTTACAAGCTGACCTCAAAGCACTGTTTAATTGGGCAACTATGTGGCAAATGAGGTTTAATGTTGATAAATGTAAGGTTATGCACTTGAGGGATAAGAATATGCATGCATCATACATACTAGGGGGAGTACAACTGGGGAATCAATGGTGGAGAAGGATCTGGGAGTTCTGGTAGATCACAAGCTTAATAATGGCATGCAATGCCAAGCTGTGGTTTCCAAAGCAAGCAAAATCCTCTCTTGTATTAAGAGATATAGACTCCAGAGAGAGAGATATCATATTACCCTGTACAAATAATTAGTAATACCTCATCTAGAATATGCAGTTCAGTTTTGGGCACCAATTCACGAAAAGAACATTGGGCAACTGGAGAAAGTACAGAGAAGGGCAACCAAACTGAGAAGAGGCATGGAGGAGCTCAGCTATGAGGAAAGATTAGAGGAACTAAATTTATGCTCTCTTGAAAAGCGTAGATTAAGGGGGGATATGATCAACATGTATAATACATCAGTGGTTCATATAGTGAACTCGGTGTATAGCTATTCATTCTGAGGTCATCACAGAGGACAAAGGGGCACTCTTTACATGTGGAGGAAAAGAAACGTAATCTCCAAACACAGAAAGGGTTCTTCACAGTGAGAGCTGTGAAAATGTGGAATAGACTCCCTCAAGAGTTGGTTCTGGCCAGCTCAGTGGATTGCTTTAAAAAAGGCCTGGATTCTTTCTTAGATGCACAGAATATAACTGGATACTAACATTTATAGGTAAAGTTGATCCGGGGAATATCCGATTGCCTCTCGGGGGATCAGGAAGGAATTGTTTTCCTAGCAGGAGCAAATTGGATCATGCTTTGCTGGGTTTTTTGCCTTCCTCTGGATCAACTGTGGGTATAGGATTATAACTTTTTTTTTTTGTTATGGTTACCACAATACCATGTGGTTTGGATTCAGTGCATTGTGAAAAAGTAGTGCTTGCACTACTTTTTCCGTGCTTACTGCCCAAAAAAGATGGGCTGTCAAAATTGCATTACATGGAAACAGGCACATTCCGGTGTGAACTGGCCCTCAATGTATTTGGATCCAGTGGAAGATCCTACTACATACTGCTCAAGTCGCTAAACAGGTGACTTATTTTATTGTGTACATACTCTGATGAGCATCCAAAAAAATGGACATATCCTCCAGGCACAAAGGTAGTACTTAAAGATACACTTGGCGCCTAAAGTGTCTTGCAGAATAATATATCTTTGACCTTTAGTGGAGTTGCCCTTAAGGTTTTACTCTTGTTCCTCAGTTCAGCTTAAGTAGTAAAATGAATACCTTCAATCCTGCTACAGAGTTATTAACCTCTGCCTTTTTAGAAAGAACTAGCAGCTGTATCCAAATTTATTGCATATGTACGAAGCTTTCTCTATGCAATTCTATGGATACTGAAATACTGGTGACCCGCAGACATCCAGAAGAGCAAGAACAGGAATGAGCTGGATGCTGCTGGGAGTTTTTATTAAAAGGACGTGTGTAACCCCAGGTGAGGTGCACAGTGAAGAACTCAAGAGTGGGGTGGGCAGGTAAGAATTTTGCTACCTGGACTTCACTAATGTTGGGGGGAGGAAAGCCTTAAAGTGATACTAAAGGTTCGGAATTTTTAAAAAATAATAAACATGTATTATTTACCTGCTCTGTGCAATGGTTTTACAGAGAGCAGCCCCAATTCTCCACGTCTTGAGTCCCCTGCCAGCACTCCTGGCTCCTCCCCCCGATGATTGCCCCCAGAGCAAACGTTTGTGCATGCTCGCTCCCAAGCCACTTCTGTGTGTCCATAAGACACAGAGAGCGGGGCTCGCCCCCCCCCTCCTCGCTTGCTGTGATTGACAGCAGCGGGAGCCAATGGTTCCCGCTGCTGTGTCTCAGCCAATGAGAAGAGGGAGACCCGAGAGAGCTACCTTTACCTTTATGCATAGAATTCACAAAGGTAAAATAATCTTCAGCCTTTAGAACCACTTTAAAGGATAAATTTCACTGAAAGTGAAGTTGTCCTTTTAAAATGTCCTGCTGCTTTCAATATGAAATCATCCACCCATGCATGAATCCATATATTTAGGGGATAACAATTAGTAGAGCAGCTGTTAATAAAAAGTTAACTTGCATCTACCTATTTGTTAGTACAGAATTGTAACATACAATGACGTTTTTCTCCTCACCCCCATTGACAGCCTCTTTGGCCATAGCCACAATGAGTTTGGAGTGATTGGCTATCTTCTCAGCACAGCCGATAGCCTCTTCCACAACCTTATCCGCTGGGAACACTTTGCTGACAAGTCCTGCCAGGACAAGTAGTAAACAGACATTTATTTTGTTAGCAGTTTAAATTTATTTTTTTATTTAAGAAAAAATAAAAACCACACTGCAAGTTTACCCTACAATATACTGATAATACATTTTCTATTGTCTAACCCTCTTTACAGGACAAGTACAATCAAAATGAATTTTTCAGATCAAGCTCCCCTCTACTCAATTCTTCTCAGGAATAAACCGAGAATCCAATAGTGGGTGTGCAATGTGAAGCATAAAATGGATTGACGTTATCGGGCAGCACAGTGGCTAATTGGTTAGCACTTCCACCTGGCAGTACTAGGGTCATTAGTTTGAATCTCAACCATGGACCACCTGCCTGGAGTTTGCATGTTCTCCTTGTGCCTGCGTGGGTTTTCTCCGGGTACTCTGATTTCCATCCACACTCCAAAGACAAGCTGGTAGGTGAATTGGCTCCTGTCTAAATTGGCCCTAGTATGTGTATGTATGAATGTAAGATAGGGACCTTAGATTGTACGCCCCTTCAGGGTTAGGGACCGATGTAAATGTACAATATATATGTGTAAAGCACTGCGTAAACTGACGGCACTATATAAGTACCTGAAATAAATAAATAAATAAATTTAGTCTGCAATTGTAACTCCAGAAAAAGATCTCTCGGCTGTGGTAACTGTGAAAACCTAAAACGGTTAGATCATCAAGCCCACAGCTCCCAAACAAAATGGACATCTTTTATTATCCACCACCAATATTGGGCTGGGTACTGTTTTTGCCACAATTAGGTGCATCGGCAGTCTATTCAAAATCACTGGGCTGCCATGGCATAGTCCCAAGTGAAGGATCTCGATTATAAATTGCTTGTTCTCATGATGCACACATTTGAGACATACGAACAACAGTATTTGTACTTCCATGTATGGCAATTCTTCTACTAAATGATATTTTCAGTGTATACAGATAAGAAGGTTAAAAGTGAAAACAATGATTCAGAGCAAGTTCCTACAAATTATAGCATTTAGTGTTCTACCTCTGTAAATTCTCCTTCTACAAAGTATTTAGCATAGCCAAAATTCACAAGAAAATGTAAACCTGCTTGCTTGGCTTCTGTAGCAGATATGCGATCACCAGTAAGGACTATCTCCATGGCCAGAGATTTTCCAACAGCTCTTGTAAGCCTCTGAGTACCACCTGCCCCTATGTAAAATAAATAAATAAATATTGAGAGATGACAAAAATCTGAAAACTGGAGAATTATCCTGGAAGCATTATACAGGTATGAAACACACAGAACATATATTCTCTCGATGAGTCATCTTCTATTTGACACAGTTGCTTTTTGTTTTAAAATTATCTGTGTATGTTTCTGCACTTTACACTAGACAAATATTTAGGTGGTATCTAAAGATGATACAATTTACCCTAAAACGCATCTAAACCCAAAAACAAAAGTGAAAAGTTTTGCAGCTTACCTGTTTGCCTAGATATAGTGGCTGCATAAATTTCCTTTTTTCACACTTTGTTTTCTTTACTCTTATAATCTCACAATACAACACATTCTGTGAATGAATATGAATGGCAGGATGCTCCCTATCCAATCACGGCACATTGCACTGTAGGACAATGTGTACGAGTTCTGCGAGCAGTGCAAGTACATCATACTAGCAAACTGCTGCGGTTAAAACTTACCTAAACCCAAGAACAAAAATTGATAATACAGCAGCCTAAAATTCCTCAGATGTATTGGCTGCATTAGTTTTCACTTTTCACACTTTTATTTTAACCTTGTAATCCTATTAAACACACTCCCTCTAACAGACCCGACAGGAACTTTTGGAGGGGACTGCAAGCTAGCCTCTTGCCTACTGACCATTTTCCTGGCATATGAGGTGGCTTTATACTTTGGTGGGTGCCTGGGGGGACCTTTGGAGTAGTTTAGTTCTGAGTCCATGTCTCCCCAAAACTCAGACTCTGAGAACTGGAAGACCAGGATACAGATTTGGGGTTTCTGTGCCCAAACTAGCATTGACTGCCTCAACCCCAATCCCCCCTCCACACCCCGACTCAGGGACTCTAGAAAGATGTTGATATAATCAGTTCAAAACAACCTCATGCTAAGAACTCTTGCTCTAATCTTTTTATTAAGGTGTTATGTGTGTACTATCTTCTCCCTTTGTATGCCTCCTAGGAGTAAATTCCCATTGTTAATAGAGTCCCCTATTGTTTGTATGTTGGCAAGTCCTTCTGGAGGTGCCTACATGACAGGATTAGACTGATGTCAGATTCAATTCACCTCCTTATCCAATCAGTGTGTGATATTTATCTCAATATGTAGTATTTGTTTTATTGTGGGGGGACTGTTTCTTATTCTGAAGTGTATAAAAACCTGTGTTCTTGTTCAATAAAGTAGTTCCTGTTTGTCATCTAAGCTAGTCTTGTCTAGTCTTGGGTGCGATGCACAGTTATAATACCTTGCTTCTGTGTCCCAGCGGTGAGGAAGCAGTTCTCTGACAGAATCACCCAATCAGGTTGACAGGCTTCCCTTCACAAGGGGTGGGTTGCTTCCTGCAGTCTTGGACATCCAAACCACCAAAGGGATCCAAGGTCCGGTCAGCAGAAGAGGAGAGGAACAGATACCATACCAATTTGAAAGGAGGCTGCGAGAGATGCGGATGCAGCACAGAGGACCAGTGCCAGAGCAGGTCCTGCTGGGATTGTATGATTCCATCCACTGGAAACTCTGGAAGGAAGCGCTAGACCAAGAGCAGTGCCACCAGGGAAAAATTCTCACCCAGGATGGGTACTGGTCACAGTACGAAGTGCGGGTGCTGTTACTGGTTGAACAACTGCTCAAGGAGTGGACAGCTGAGTTAAGCAGGCTGGTCCAGGCAGAGATGCGGCTGGACGAGAGCTACAGGGCCCTCCGCTGGTATGTAGCCCAAGTGTGCCAACAGACAAACAATAGGTGACTCAACTCAAAGTGGATGTAAAGGCTGAATGTTTTTTACCTTCATGTATTCTATACATGAAGGTAAAAAACCTTCTGTGTGCAGCAGTGCCCTCAGCCCCCTCAATACTTACCTGAGCCCCATCACAATCCCGCGATGTGCACAACAGCCTCGGCTGTCCCAGGTCTCTGCCTCTTCATTGGCAGAGACAGCAAGCGGAAGCCATTGGCTCCTGCTGCTGTCAATCACAGCCAGTCAGCCAATGAGGAGAAAGGGTTGGGTCAAGTCACAGGTCCATGCATGAATAGACACACGGAGCAGCGGGTGCCCCCGTAGCAAGCTGCTTGCTATGGGGGCGCCTGACAGAAAGCAGTCAAGTTCGGGCACAGAGACTCCAAATCTGTATCCTGGTCCTCTGGTTCTCAGAGTCTGTGTGTTGTGGGGAGACATGGGCTTGAATTTAAAGTAAACTACTCCAAAGGTCCTCCCAGGCACCAGCCAAAGAATAGAGCCCCCTCAGATGCTAGGGCCATGGTCAATAGGCAAGAGGCTAGCCTGCAGTCCCCTCCAAAAGCCCCTGTCCCAGTTGGGCCTGTCACACTCCCACCCTAGGGTGTCAACAGTACTGAGCAGCATTGTCACCCTAGGACATTGTGTTAGGACTATATAACACCACCTTCTCTTCTCCATTAACAGAGGGGAAGTGTTTTGTAGTCTACGAAGATGGCAGAGAACAAAAATGATAACTTCCAGTGCTTTCTACTTCTGGACTGTTACTAGCTCACAAGGTTTCTGGCATTATTTTTTTTTTTTACACTTCTCTAACAGATAATAAAATGCTTTAAATGGTACGTTAATAAACAAAACATTCTGTGCACCACATTACAGAACAAGCTACATGCAGAAAAAAAAAAAAAAAAAAAAATGATGACCAAAGTCACTTAAAGCAGAACCAAACCCTCCTATCTTTTTTTAACCTAGGTAGCGGCCATCTTAGCCTCTGTTTGATCTTCAACTGCCATGGTGCTGCACATGTAGTCAGATATGACACCAGCCATTTGATGGTTTGACAGTTTGATTAAGAGCTCAAGCAAATGTGATACTTGTATTCTGGCACATGCCAGGAATGTAACTGTTGTTTTACACTGGGAAATCGATGGGTTTAGTTCCGCTTCAAATTATATATAAAAACAATGCTGAGCTCAAAAACATAACTGTGTGCCAAATGAATAAGAAGTACAAACCATGTACTGTATGTATAAAATCATATACCAAATGAATATGTAAAGTGCAAACAATATATCGTAGTATACTGACAGAAAAATTATATTGAAATTCCACCTTAACAATTAGTGCATAAAATGTGATAAATATGAAAACATCCAAATTATTCTGTGCAACAGTAAAAATCAAAATGCACAACCTCCACTGTCCCTCAGTGGCAAACCACTCACCTTAGGGATCAACCACCCTAACAAAGCTGTAACACGAAGCACATTTTTTCACACCTTAGAACCTCTGTAGGGTTTTTTTTTGCTGCCTGATCCCTTCCACTTCCTTTTTTAACCAGGACAAGAAGGGAAGGGGAAATTTTTCAAACAGGGAGTAAAAACAGGAATACAAAACGAACAGATGCTTTAACCCTTAGCTGACCCATTGAAGTTTTATACTGTCATGTTATTCTGCCGCCTACAGGAGGGCTACACACGGACAACTGAAAATCATTGCAGGCCAGCCCCGGATAACTCCTCCAGCTGCCAGCATGCCTCATTGAGGGACCTGTGTCCCTCAACGGACTCGAAGTTAGGCCACTTTTACACGGGCATCATCCGTTCAGTCACATTTTTGCCATTTTTATTTTGCCAAGAAAAATAGATCAGTTAACATCTTCCACTTAGTTCCATTCTATTTACATTTGTTTTTCATCTGTTTTTTGTACAACGTCTTTTAAATGGAGCAAAAATGCAAACCTACTGTAAAAAAAAAAAAAAAAAAAAACAGACCTTAACAGAAGAGAATAAAAAAAAAACAGATGTAAACCATGTGTCCATAGGAATGCATTGCTGTCCATTGTTCATGTCAGACGGATGGAAAATGGACAGATAGAATGCCCATGAGAACGCCCATGTGAGAGGGACTTAAAGGATTCTACATCAAGTACAAGAATCCTAATTTTTCTATCTTGTCCACTGAGGGACACAAGAAGTCTAATACTGTTGGGATATCCAAATGTAGTTCAATTGAGGGTTGGGCAAAAGCAAACAAAAACCGTCCCGCAAAAAAACCCCCAAAACAACAAAATTGGGGACTGCAGCTCAAAGAGTCACCTGATCTTACGCTGGAAGCTGCATCTGATGGGGCCTGAACATTCAAATTGGTAAAACTTGGAGAACATTTGAACAGAAGACCAAATGGCAGCCTTGCAGATCCCAGAAACAGAAGCCTAATTGTGCAGAACCCAAGAGAAGCTTACAGACTTATTAGAGTGTGCCTTGAGAGGAAAGGTGAAATACTAACCCTGATTCGGATCTGGCAGTCTCCCATTCATGAAAAGAATTGGAAGGGCAGGCCCTAGTGGCGTAACAGGTTTTGGCTGCCTGAACCCAGAATAGATGGATGCCTCTCAATGACAATCACAAAATAAAATGGCAGCGGAGATGCGGATTTCAGCAGGACAATGCTGGATCTGCCGGTGGATGAATATCCATGATGTTAAGGTGGAATTTCAATATAATTTTTATCTTGTCTAACTACCTTAGACAAGAAGGAAGTTCTGAGCCTCAACACACCTTGTCAGATCCGTGTAAGATCAGGAAGGGTTCTTTTCAGGGTAAGCTGGCAGTCTAGACACACTGGTAACAAGAGAAACAACATTGTGAGAGTGGAAAGGGGAATAACCCTCATAGGTTCAGAGGGCAGTCTCTACAGTGTCAAGGGAAGCAATTTCAAGTCCCACGGATATCCAGGGGAGTGAACAGGGAAAGCCAAATGGGAGACACTCAGCTTTCATTCTTTGAACCAGACTTTATGCAAACAGTATCTGAACAGTAATCGAAAGTGCAGAGACCTGACTCTTAAATGGGCCAATTGTTGGTCCATCTGTAAGAAGTAGAGGTATCATCTCACATTAATGTTTTTGATATGAAAGCCTCTTACCACACACCAAGCAAAGTAGACCTTCCACACAGACCTAGACTACCAAGAAGTAGAGTTCCTAGTTTAAGCATCTTGGCAATCAGTGATTCATTGACGCAGCTGTCTTAGAACCTGGGCTTTAAGCAGCCATGCCATTAAAGCCTGAGACTGAAGCAGAATAGTAAATCATTCCTTAGGACATAAGATCTGGAAGAGCCCAAAGAATGTCTGCTAGGAGACTTTCTAAGTTGTAACACCACATCCACCTGGGCAAATCCGGAGCTATGAGAATCACTAGAATGCCCACCATCTTGATCCTGTGAAGCAGCTGAGAAAGGAGTATTTAAAAAGAACAGGCACAGATCAGGGTGTAAAGATCCCACAAACCCACAAGAGGAGCCCTGTACCTGCAAACAAATGTTTAGTGTGTTGTTGAACCTGTAGGCCAGGAGATCCACATCTGGTATTCCCACTCTGTGACACAGGTTCTGTGACCCCATGGTGTAACAACCATACTCCCAAAGACCAAAGGCTGATCCTAAGAGCTGCTAAGTAGAGACCAGCTAAAATAGCAATGAAACAGAAATCTAGATTTAAGAAAAAAGGTAGCTAGTAAAACGGTTAAACTTTTCTTAGTACAGCAGAGTAAAAAAGAAGTCCACCCTCCTAATACACTAGCAAGAAACTAAGGGATGCTGGGAGTAGGAGAAGTAATCTTGTGCTGGCCCACAATTTTTTTTTTCTCTCCCATGAGGACTGAGATTTAACTCTGCAGTCACTTTTGCAGCAGTTTTCTTATTCCAAGTCACAATCCTGCACAATGTCCTTTTGTCTCTTTTGGTCAGTTAACCATGTCGACCACGCTTATACTTATCAGACGGAAACGGTATATGCCGTCATAACTTTTGAAACTGTACCTCGCAGCAAAGCAGATAATTGGCAACGTCACTCACAGAGGCACCAGCTAAGCGGCACCAACAATTTGCCCTCTTTGAAGCTCAGTAAGCTCTGACATGACTCCGTATTGCTAGCAGCACATGCAGTGAATGACTAAAGTGAGGCTTCTCACCTGTTAGCTAGGTGTCTCATCACACAGTGGAAGCAAAAGAATGTTACATCACTTCTGCTTTCAAAGCGAAATATGTGGTCACTTTCACACCTGCAAATAATGTAGTGTTTCCATATTTTTGTCCAACATGTGTGTATGTATATGTGTCTATATATTATCAAGAGAGCTCCCGCCTGTCTGTCATTACCTTATACAGCGGGTGGGAGGCGATTAAAATGTGTAATTTGCATCTGCATGGTTTCATTACAACATAACAGAATATACTGAACATTTTTGAACATATTTTAACAATTAGCTTATAGCCAAACAGTTAAATAAAATCAAGTTACCTGGAATTGTTCCGAGTAAGATTTCTGGTTGCCCAAACTGGGCCTTTTCTCCAGCATAAATAATGTCACACATCATGGCAAGCTCACAGCCTCCTCCCAGCTATAGAAATAAAGACAACGCTTAGCTACAATGTTGGGACAGTGCAATATTCTCAATGATACAGCAATATATATATAATATTGGAACAGTATCTGCTAAATCTAAAGACGCTCTGCACTTGTATGGCCGTGTGGAAAAGGCCATAAAGTTACAGTTTTTTTTGACTCCATCAAAATAGATGTCTGCTGTTGTACATTTTAGAAATAAGATTTAATATGCTAACTACAGAAGTATAAAATGCTTGCATAAAAGATGTATGTATATATAGGTTTTGAGAGCTGGCAAAAGCAGCTTCCACCGATACAGCACCCAACATATTTTTTCAAATAACTGTTAAGGATAATTGGTTATAGCAAATTTGGAAAAAAAGCGTGATGCAAACAACACTGAGAATCCACTTTCACCAGATCCAAACAACAGTCTAACCTCTTTTGGACCTAGTATGGTGGATATATACACCTGGAGGCCTCCAGTTTCTTTAGGATCAAAGACATTTTTTATTTTCTTTTACTACTGCCTTTAAAATATACAAAAAAAATATATAAAACGCAAGCTGACAGTAGTTGTACTTGGCACAATATTGCTGCTCTTTGCGCTGCTATATCAATTAACTCTATGTGTATGCAAACATCCTTCATATATGAGATTTAATGTACAGCCAAAGCTTATTTCCTGTGGATCACAGAAGTGCAGTTTGTTCTGCACTCCTGTGACCCTTTTTCAGCTAACAGCGGGCTGAAACCCACTGTTGGCTGACGTCAGTCAGCTGTTTCAGGCAGGGGAAAGATCCCAACTTCAAAGTCGGGATCCAACCGAGAGTCTAAGCACCTAACTCAGCCTGTCAACCATCTGCTAAGAGCCTGAGCCAGCCGCTCCTTCCCCCTCTACAACTCAGCACTCCAGTGAGCACTGGGGGACAGAGCAGACAGTGGTGACTGCCAATCACTGCTCTCTGATCACAGCGGCAGTGAGAACTCAGAGATCAGTGGTCATGTAATTGCTAAGTTCTAACTGTTAGAGCCAGCGGGGGACACATGCAGCATCGCACCAATGCTGCATCCATCTAGGCAAGTATAATTTGGAGAAAAAAAGAAAACACACTTCTCTTTTAAGAAATTACATTTTCATCTTAACAAGGTAAATTAAAAGGGCATAGTTTAAAGACTTCACTAGAAATAAAAGATCAACTGCAAGTATGGAGCTGACAGCCTAAAATGTTTCACTATTACCTTTTTATTATTATTATGTGATGACTCATTATGGTTACTTAAAGCTTTTCAGACGCAGGAAATGTTCACTTCCCAATCATTATTACTTAAAAACCCTGTAATTCTAACAATACATGTGAACTTCACTGGCTTAAAACACCCCTGGCAACGGCTGTGCAATCAGACTATTCAGTTGCTAAAAATATCATCTATGTTACTTAGGCACAAATTATACAAATGGCCCTAGAGCCACCCATGACAATGCTTAGTAAAGGCCAAATTGCCTACCATTAAAATAATAGTAACAATCAATGCCAGTTATAACTTACTGCATAACCATTAACTGCTGCAATGACTGGCTTTTTTACAGTGGACACACGATTCCAGTGTGACAGGAAGCCTCCACCATAACATTCTTGGAAGGTCCTATTTTGCATCTCTTTAATATCTGCACCAGCTGCCAGGAAAGAACAAGGATTCAATTAGCAAAGCAAAGAACAATACGCTAATGTTAAAGCAGAACTCTAATATCACAACTGAAGTAGGCTGCCCATACCAGTAAGACCAGCCCTCTGGTATTCCAAGCTCCCTCTAAATACCTGTTGATCCTGCCAACAGAACTACTGAATAAGCACTTCTTTATATAGGGTAGCAACTCTCTCCCTACTGCAGAAAAGTCAGTGCAGTGTTTTCATCCTTTCTGCTGTTGCTTAAAGGGTAAGTTCACCTCTGTAAAAAAAAAAATAATCATTAATAATAAATGCACATCTTTTTACAGGTTAAAAAAATGCATTTATTATTTTTTTTTACTAGGAGCCTGTAAAGCATTGCACGCATGATCAGCAGATTGTGGGTGCAACCTCAGGCTCCTGCAGACTGTCAGTGTTGCTGTCTGCTCATACCTGGTAGGGGCAGGCAGTTATTGAATGACAGGAAGCAACAATGAACTACCTACAGCACTCAACAGTGCTCTGGTAGTTCATTGAGGACTATAAGCCATCAGCCACAATGGTTGTCAGCAGTTGTTCTCCCATTCACAGAACTCTGAATAAATGGCAGAGCCCGGCATGGTTGCATTTTTCTAAAATTGTGACAGTGGGTGCAGGGAGAAGATCCCCAGCCCGCTGTCACAACAGGGCTTTTGCAACAGTAACATGGTACGCTACACAAATACAAGTGTAACATGTTACAAAAGGTGAACTTATCCTTTAACCACTTGCTAACCGCGCTATAGCCGAATGACATGATGAGGTAAAAGGCCAATCACAGCGGCCTTTTATCACGTGATCAGCTGTGTCCTATGATGCAGCAGATCACGGAGTAAATACAGTTGCCGGTTATCGGTCACACCTTTTCACTCTGTCACAGTGTGAAGGAAGTACTGCAGATAACCAGCAGCTGTCACACAGCAGATCGGCACTAATGATCAGTGCCCCGCAGTGCCGCCAGTCAGTGCACATCATCGCTGCATATCAGTGCAGCATCATCAGTGCCTCTTCATTAATGCCCCCATCCGTGCAGCCATCAGCGCACATCAGTGAAGGAGAAAAAGGATCTGTTTGCAAAATTTTATAACAGAAACAAAGAAAAACTTTTTTTTTTCATTTTTTGTTTATAGTGCAAAAAACACCCAGTGGTGATTAAATACCACCAAAAGAAAGCTTTATTTGTGTAAAAAAAAGGAAAAAAAATTGAATATGGGTACAGTGTTGCAAGACCGCGCAATTGTCATTCAAAGTGTGACAGCGTTGAAAGCTGAAAATTGACCTAGGCATGAAGGGGGCATAAGTGCCCGGTAAGCAAATGGTTAAATATAGCTGTGGTTGAACGCCCTATACGATATGGTGCTGCGTTACTTCAACTGACAATTGCGTGGTCATGCCGTGCTGCACATAAATTAAATTTGTCATTTTTTTTCACACAAATAGAGCTTTCTTTCCGTGGCATTTGATCACATCTGCGGTTTTTATTTTTTGAACTATAAACAAAAAAAGCCTGACAATTTTGAAAAAAAAAAAAAAAACTTTTTGCTATAAAACATATCCAATAAAAAAAAAATGTAAACAATCAAAAGTCCCCTATGTGATGATTTGTTTGGTGACAGATTTTCTTTAAAAGACCCTGCACGTCTCCCCTGTGCTCCACTGAATGTACATGCTCCACATTACATTCTTTCCCTGCCTCAATGGCCAGAAATCTGTTAATGGAAACCTAGAAGTGACATTAAACGTCACTTCCAGGTCAGGACAAGAAGGGGAGGGGAGCGGACGTGTTGGCACTGTGGGCTGTGTGGAAGCAATCGGGCGGCAGCGCTGCCACCCGAATGCTTCCACCTGACAGGTGAGCCCTGCTGCTTGCCCGCAGCAGGGCTAAAGGTTGAAAAAAAGCTACCTGCCCGATACCTGAAACTACCTGTCCCGGGCGTCAGGCGAAACAAATTCAGCATCCCTGCATCTAGATGTCTGCCCTGGAGCCTGTAGCCTGTAAGCATCCAGATTCAAATTTTGTTATGCTTTAATAAAGAGGTTAAGTGGTGAGCACTATGGAGTCTTTATTTCTCTACATGAGAGCTACCGTACCCCTACTATACCCAGAAACAAGGGTCCATCTAGACAGGAGGGAGCACATTTAAGGGCACGTGAGGTTTGTTTTGGAAGACAGAGGTGTACACTTGGAAGAGTTGTTTGATAATTTGCACTATACAGTAGTGACGGACTTCACATTGCACTAAGCACTGAATGAGTGACATGTTTTTCACTGTAAAAGTATTATGAGAAGTACTGGTTTTGGGCACTCGTATATGCACTATTATTTCTGCATCCAACAACACAGAGATATAATTGTTTTATGTATATTTTTTTATCTTGCATTACGCAGAATGGATTGATCACATTTGTACGTACTGGGTATTCAAGTGAATATTACTGGTATATTGTGAAGAGTGGTATTTTACACTTATATGTTATATTTGGCTTGTTGCACCTTTTTGATTTGTCTGTATCTATTTGAGGGGAGTATTGTCCTGATGTGTGTATGTATGGTTTAGTTGTTGTGTGAATAACAAGTGACAAGTGACAGCAGCCCTCAATTAAAATGATCTGTAAAAAAGGGACACTGTGCAGACACTGTTCATGGTGGATGCAGACGCAGCACAAAGTAGCTCAGCACGGAGGCCAGGTCTCAGCACCCGTCTGAATGAGCCCTTCATAGCATAATATATGTGTCACCCAATTATGCTTCCAAATACCTTTTTTTCTTCTTTTCATAGTTGGTCACATGATCTGTATAGAGCAACGCAGTAAACCCATATGAAATTTCTGGGCAAAGCATAGGATGCTACATTTACCCATCATTGCAAAGTTTTGTGCCTTGATCTGCACAGAGCTGAATTCCTAAAGGCTTAATTCACTTTTTTTTTTTTTTTTTTTTAAATATAAATAAATACACCTATTTTTGCAGAAAAAAAAAGTGCAAACATTTTAATAAAAGGATACTTTTTACTATTTGATTTTTAATACATTATAGATTTCAGCAACCTTTCCTCCTGCAGCTCACTTTTTCCTTTCCTGGTCCAGATTTGTGTGATGGGCTCTACTTGTAGGATTGGCATTGCGTGTGATAGCCTGCCCGGCTGGGTACAGTGGCTTGTCACGGTGAGGGTGCACACAGCAACAATAACATTCTGTTTATTGATTATTGGTAATAATAATGTTTATCATGCTGTGTGGAAATTACTTTAAAATGTATGTGTGGTTTTAAACCTCTATGTATGAATACATTTGATTATGCTGTTCTATTTATGTATGAATTCTTTTTGTGATTTTTCTAGGACCTTAAAAGTCCCACCACTGCATGTTTTTCATTTCTGTATACTTGTTAGGGATGTGGCGCCTTGTTGGTTCTCCCATAATCCCATCCAATTAGTGCACAGGTATCAAGTAAAATTTTCCCCATTCCATTAAAACTAAAGTTCTGGATGGAAATGGCCTTTCATATTGAGAGTAGTTTTATAGTACAATACTTACTGCATGTGGTCAATAAGCATTTATCACAATTTAACCTGACAAAGACATAACACTGAGAAGTTTTAAACTCTGGTTAAGAGTTCAAAGGTTGCTGTTATCAATAACTAACCAGCAAAGGCTTTCTCACTCCCCGTGATAACAATTGCTCCAATCCGAGGGTCCCCTTCAAAGGAGTCCAGAGCCTGGTTGACCTCGGTCATCAGTCCATCACACAAAGCATTCAGAGCTTTGGGGCGATTCAGCTGTATAAAACCCACATTTTCATTCTTTCCTTTGCGCTCCACCAAAATATACTGCAAGGATTGGCCTGCTGGACGAAAGGAAGAAGAGACAACAATTAGGTAGTACAGTATCAAGCCTGTTGTGCTTACTAAGGTAATAGAGACATGGTAATTAAAATGCTACACACCTCCACTCCTTACAGAGATACTATCTTTAAAGGGTTAAATTCAGCAACACCCTTCAAGCAGAACCTCGCCTCCCCCCATCTCTGCCATCATTGGAATTTTTGACAGGTGCCCGCTCCCAATTCTGCTTTTTTTCGCATAGGCGAGTAGAATAGTGGTTCCAGCTCCTCCCCTGCAGCCTCCTGGGACACATCATACATCCCAGGAGGTTGCTGCACCAGTCTGCAAGCATCGCATCTCAAGCACACGCATTTAGGAGCCAGCTGGGAAACAGCAGGAAGTATCGGCCAAGATGGTCGGCTGCAAGGACCTGAAGACAGGTGAAGAACATGGAAAAGTGTCCATTTATTAAAAGTCAACAGCTACAGTATTTGTAGCTGCTGATGATTTAATTTTTTTTTTTCTTTATAAAATGACTGAAGTTCCTCTTTGGAGGCCATAATGTTCAATTTGGGGATTTATTTATTTAAAGTGGTTCTAAAGACTCAAGGTTCATGCATTCTATGCATGACAGCAAAACACCTTCTGTGTGCAGCAGTGTCCCCAAATACTCACCCAAGACTCCTCTTGATCCAGCGATGTGCACTGGAGTCTCAGCTATCCTGGGACTCCCTCTTCTCATTGGCTAAGACAGAAGTGAGGGGAGCCACTGGCTCCCACTGCTGTCAATCACAGCCAGTGAGCCAATGAGAAACGAGAGGGGGTGGGACCAAGACATGGCTCTGTATGTAAATGAACACACGGAGCAGTGGGTGCCCCTTAGCAAGCTGCTGGCAGTGGGGGCACCCGAAAGGAAGGAGGGGCCATGAGAGCCTGCGGCGGACTCGAGAAGTGGAGGATCCAGGCTGCTCTGTGCAAAACCACTTCACACAGCAGGTAAGTATAGACATGTTTGTTATTTTTTTCTTTAAAAAAAAGCCTTTAGAATCACTTTAATTTCACGCAAAGATATAACTTGAGCCATACCATTCTTCTTAATGACCCATCTAAGAATGCCTGTGCACAGAATCCTGGGAGGCACCATCTCTACACATCCGAGTGGAATGTCGTGTAGTCACTTTCTATATCTTTTTAAATGGGATAGCTTTCGAGTTGATACACTACCATAGACTTAGCCACTACGCTTGGTCTGCCCAACCTAAAGTGGAACTCCAATCAAAACGTTGTGATAGAGTGAGAACGTGTTAAAATGTTTGTCAAATGCTTCATCCGGCTTGTGTCCCCACTGGGGAGATTATTCTCCACTTCCTGCCCCAGCACATGAAAGGAAGTGGAAATCTCCCCAAAATAAAGGGATATCCTCCTCTAACAGTTAGCACCGGCAGCCAATAGAAAAAGAACATTTTAAAGGGACATTTTATATTGTTTTTATGTTTGATGTCTATAGAGACTGGCAGCACTGGGATGCATCCCCTGGTGTCAGGAAACATGTACAAGGCACAGATTAGCCATACTCCACCCCGGCTGACTGAATCCCACCAAAATCCTGTCAGGAGGGAGGTATGGCTATACCAGGGGTCTACAAACTTTCTTACCAAAGGTGCCAGTTTACTTTCCTTCAGACTTTAGGGGGGCTGTACTATGACCATTGGGAGTCCATGACAAATTGATCTGGAGTCAGTGGGAGTAAACAACACATTGTTGGTGTTAGTGGGAGGAATAGTGTCCTATTGTTGGTGGCAGTTGAGGGAATAGTGCTCCATCATTGCACCACTGATTTTAGTGGGAGGAGCAGCGCCCCGTCGTTGGCGTCAGTGGGAGGAACAGCGCCCCGTCGTTGGCGTCAGTGGGAGGAACAGCGCCCCGTCGTTGGCGTCAGTGGGAGGAACAGCGCCCCGTCGTTGGCGTCAGTGGGAGGAACAGCGCCCCGTCGTTGGCGTCAGTGGGAGGAACAGCGCCCCGTCGTCGTTGGCGTCAGTGGGAGGAAGTGTGTGTCCCGTCATTGGCGTCAGTAGAGGAAGTGTGTCCCGTCATTGGTGTCAGTAGAGGAAGTGTGTCCCGTCATTGGTGTCAGTGGGAGGAATAGTGCCCCATCAGTGGGAGGAAGAGTGCCCCATCCTTGGTATCAGTGAGAAGAATAGTGCCCCAGCATTGGTGACAGTGGGAGGAATAATGCCCCAGCATTGGTGACAGTGGGAGGAATAATGCCCCAGCATTGGTGACAGTGGGAGGAATAATGCCCCAGCATTGGTGACAGCGGGAGGAACAGTGCCCCAGCAGTGGGTGTCAGCGGGAGGAACAGTGCGCCAGCAGTGGTGTCAGCGGGAGGAACAGTGCGCCAGCAGTGGTGTCAGCGGGAGGAACAGTGCGCCAGCAGTGGTGTCAGTGGGAGGAACAGTGCGCCAGCAGTGGTGTCAGCGGGAGGAACAGTGCGCCAGCAGTGGTGTCAGCGGGAGGAATAGTGTTCCAAGGGCCGGATAAAGGCAAGCAAAGGGCCGCATCTGGCCCCCGGGCCACAGTTTGGAGACCACTGGGCTATACAATGATTTGCAAATTTGATTGCGTTGAGAATCACAGACCCATTGGTTGGAAAACGCAGAGAATGTCCACTAATGGTGAAGTGTTATCCTGGGCCCAGCAGTCTTGTCATATACCGACCATATACCATACACTCAGCCCACATATACCGCACAGTGACGTCATATATAGATATTATACACACTACTGTCTGTAATCACGTAATCCAAACACACAGCAATCACTGGCCAATCAGAGCCCCGGCCCCCTCTCCCATACAAACACACAATACATCCCTCCCCCGCAATATACCAGCGCTGTAGCTCCGAGAAAGCCCATGTCGGATCGGCAATATAGCTGACAGCCGAGCGAACCCCTTCCCAGCGCAGCCATGTTGTCCTAGTCACGCATGCGCACAACCAGCGCCCTTGTAATTCCCGGGACTCGACGCTCCAGCAAGGACGGAGGTAATGGCGCATGCGCAGAATGGCTCAGCTGTTTCATCTGTCTTCTAGTGATTATTTAATATTGTTTGCATTATAAAATGCTTTTGTTCTATTTCTGGGGTTGGACAATGACAGGAAATGAAGTTCTTTAAAGAACAAAAATAAAGCTCTAAATCCAGAAACTAGAGGGATAGTGGGAGACATTTGCTGGTGACCCCAACATTCCATATTCCTGATATGTGCCTGCTGTACCATGTACTGGGATGACGCAGTCTCCTGTTCACTTTGTATTGCTTCCATTGTGTAAAATCCCTGGTGTTGCTGCCAGCCCCTCTGCTTTCCTACTAAAAACTGACCACACTAGGCATGAGAGCACAAAATGGTCAGATTTCTAGCTGAGCTGGGAACTCAGGCTTTCCTCCAATGACCAGACTTTGGCTGACACACCCTCCCTGTACAGCCATTCATCTGGAGGACCAATGTGCTGTTGTTTCTCTTCCTCCAGCTCTTGTGCAGCTGGGAACAGAGGGAATGTGATGACTTCATAATTTTTTTAAATCTATACCCAAATGTTTTGCCTTTCATTTCTATTGAAACTGAATGGTTTATTTTACAAGGTAAGGGTTTTAAATTGGTTCTAAAGTCTAAACATTTTGTGCCATGTTATTATTATTATTATTATTATTATTACAGTATTTTTAAAGTGTCAATAGTTCGCTCAGCGCTGTACATTACAAAGGGGGACAGAACAACAATACAATGCAAAACATGAGGGGATTGAGGGCCCTGCTCTTTCAAGCTTACAATCTAGGAGGGAGGGGATGGTGGTACAGGAGGAGATAACTGTGGGGATGGGGTGGTAGGAAGAGTGGAGGAGGTTGGCAAGTTAGCAGGGGGTGTTGTAGGCTTCCCTGAAGAGGTGGGTTTTCAGGGTGCGCCTAAAGGAGAGGAGAGTAGGTGATAATCTGATGGGTCGGGGCAGGGAGTTCCAGAGGATGGGTGACACCCTGGAGAAATCCTGGAGGCGGGCATGGGAGGAGGAGACCAGGGAACTAGAGAGAAGGAGGTCTTGTGAGGAGCGGAGTGTGCGTGCTGGGTGGTACATGGATATTAGGTCAGTGATGTAGTTCGGGGCAGTATGGTGGATGGCTTTGTACGTCAGTGTTAGGATTTTGAATTCGATCCGTTGCGCAATCGGAAGCCAGTGGAGGGATTGGCAGAGGGAGGTGGCGGAAATGGAGCGGTTGGAAAGGTGAATGAGTCTGGCAGCCGTATTCAGGATCGACTGAATAGCCAGCGGCGAGGCAGGCCAGTGAGGAGGGAGTTGCAGTAGTCGAGTCGTGATATGATGAGGGAGTGGATGAGCTGTTTAGTGGTTTCTATTGTTCGGAACGTGTGTATTTTGGCGATGTTGCGGAGGTGGAGTCTGCACGAGCTTGTTAAAGATTGGACTTGGGACTGGAAGTATAGGTTGGAGTCCAAAATGAAACCAAGTACTCTGGCCTGTGGGGCGGGTTTGATGGTGGCGTTGTTGGATGTGATGGAGAAGTCAATGGGGCGTGGTGTCCGGGCTGGGGGGAAGACAAGAAACTCGGTTTTGGAGAGGTTCAGTTTAAGGAAGTGGAGCGATATCCAGTCTGATATGTCGTTCAACAGGTGTGTGATTCGGGCAGAGACTGAGGTGGTGAGGTGGGGGGTTGAGAGATAGATTTGTGTGTCGTCGGCATATAGGTAGTAGTTGAAGCCGTGAGAGTGTATGAGTTGGCCAAGGGAGGAGGTGTAGATGGAGAAGAGAAGGGGCCCGAGGACGGAGCCTTGAGGGACCCCAACAGAGACGGGGAGTGAGGGGGAGGTGGTAGCATTATAGGTAACGCTGAAAGAGCGTTGTGACAGATAAGATGAGAGCCAGGAGAGAGCAGAATCTCTGAGGCTGAGGGAGTATAGTTTTTTTGAGGAGGAGGGGGTGGTCGACTGTGTCGAAGGCCGCAGAGAGGTCAAGGAGTAGGAGCACTGAATGGTGGCCATTAGCTTTGGCGGTTAGCAGGTCGTTGGAGAATTTCAGTAAGGCAGTTTTGGTGGAGTGTAGGGGACGGAAGCCGGACTGTAGGGGATCAAGGAGGTTGTTGTTGTTGAGGTGAGAGCTTAGGCGGGTGTAGACTCGGCACTTTGAGGAGTTTGGATGTAAGTGGGAGCAGGGAGATGGGTCTGAGGTTGTTCGGGTCATTGGGGTCCAGGGAGGGCTTTTTAAGTATGGGGGGATGTGTGCATGTTTCAGAGGGGAGGGGAAAGTGCTGGAGGAGAGGGAGAGATTAAAGATGTGGGTGAGGGAGTGTAGGATAGAGGGGGAGGGAGGTTGTAGGAGTTGTGAGGGGATAGGGTCGAGGGGGCAGGTGGTGAGGCAGGCATCAGAGAGGATCTTGGAGACTTCCTCGATGGTAGTAAGGTCAAAGGTGCAGAGTGTTGGGTGGGCTTCAGTATGAGGAATGTAGGGTGGGGTGGAAGTGGAAGTCAGAGCAGTGGTGGGGCCGTGGGGGAGAGGGGTGATGAGGGTGTAGCTGAGTGAGGGGGAATGGGGTTGGAGGGAGTTTGAGCAGCGACGAAGTCCCTGCGGGTTATGTCGAGGGAGAGGGGGGATGAGGGGGTAGCTGTGTGAGAGGGGACGGGTTGAGAGGGCGTGTGAGTTGCGGCGATGTCCTTGCGAATTGTGTCAATCTTGTTTTTGAAGTGATTGGCAATCTCAAGGGCAGTGAGTGAGGTGCTGGGTGGAGGTGGGGGTGGCGAGAGTAGAGAGTTGAAGGTGGAGAAGAGTCGGCGAGGATTGGAGGAGAGGGCCTTGATGAGGGTCAGGAAGTAGGCTTGTTTGGCTGCGTGGAGGGAGGAGGTGTAGGTGTGGAAGGCAGATTTGTAGCGGGTGAAGGCTTGTTGGGATTTGGTTTTGCGCCATAGTTCGCTCCAGGGCATGACTGTGTCGTTTGAGGGTTTTGGTGGTGATCAGTCTGCCAGGGCTAGAGCGGTCAGGGTCTGATGTTGCGTGTGGTTAAAGGCGCTAGTGAGTCAAGGGCTGTTGACGGCGCGTTGTTGTAGGCAGTCATAGCCAAGTCGGGGCAGGATAGGGGGAGGATGCTGTCATGGAGTTGATCAGCTGCAGAGTGGAGGGGGGCAGGGTTAAGGTTGCGGAGGTTACGACTGGTAGTAGTGTGACATTTGGAGGGGTAGGCGTTGGAGGATGAGGAGATAGAGAAGGTTATCAGGTTGTGGTCAGAGAGAGGGAAGGGGGTGTTAGTGAGGTTGTGGGGAGCGCAGCGGTTGGAGAAGACAAAATCAAGGATATTACCGTCGGAGTGGGTGGTGGATTGTATGCACTGTGCAAGTGCAAAGGAGGAGGTTAAGTGGAGGAGATGGGATGTGGCCAGGTTGTCGAGGTTGACCGGGATGTTGAAATCCCCAAGGATGATGGTGGGTAGCTCAGAGGAGAGGAAGAAGGGTAGCCAGGAAGAAAAGTCATCTAGGAAGTGGGATATGGATCCATGTACCTTAATTCATTCTGTCGCACCCTCCTACTGCAGCTAGGGGGAGCTAGATCCTAATAGTTAGACAGGAGCTGGTTAGCAGCTTAGGTGTAATAGCCAGAGGGGTCAAATTGTGGTCAGGGCTGAGAGACTCTGCAGGCCAACCCCTCTGAAATTTCCCCCTTCTCTAAGGCTTTCAGAGGAGGGCCTTGGAGGCAGTGGGTGGATCTGAGGAGTGGTTGGCTGCACTTTTGAGGGTTCCTAGCCAATTCTTAACAGAAGGCTTGGCAAGGGGATGGACACCCTTAAAAGTGTAGGAGCCTGCTCAGTAAGAGGAGTGTGGTGGTGGGAGAGGTGTAGAGTGAGAGATTAAGATGTGAGGCTGGAGGAGGGAGGCTGCCAGGAAGCCTAGAGGGATGGTCCCTGAGGGAGGACCACCTGTATGTGAGGGAAGGAACAGACCGGCTGATAGGACTGGTACCAGCAGCTAACCCGTAAACGGTACAGGAGAGGATCTCAGTGAGCACACCCTGCACCCCTGGGTGGATAGAGGAAGAAGCACTCTGGTGGGAAACCAGATTAGCCCACTACTTGTGATTGTGTACCTCTATTAAAGGGACATGAGCCAGATCCTTTGCTCAGGAAGAAAGTCTCCAGATTGCTGGGTGAAGAGGAGTTCATCTAGGGTCTGGGGTGCTACAACTAGGAGATGCCGGCTCGCTCTCCAACAAAAACTGTCAGAGAAGAGAACTTGTGAATAGTTCAGGAAGTTGTCCTCAGATATCGGTTCCCTTGGGCATCCTATACCCCTCCCCCTTACCCTATCCAAGTTACAATCCCCTGAATAAAATAACAAAACCAAAGCTCAAGGACTGGTTTCTGTCTCCGAATGCAAGCTTGTGTGGAAAATGCAGAACGACTGGCTGTGTGGGACTATAGGGGGACCTAATTCATTAGCAATCCCTAAGGGGGTAGTGCTACAATTCTTTGCATTAAGATAACAAATGACTAGGTAGCAGTATCACTCCCTCATCTCCCCTAATACATATATTGAGGTGTCACTCTATCCAGAGTTGTGCCCATCTGTAGCAGTTCTTTCTGCTCTTACAGGCTTTGCTGAAAGCAGCGGAAGCTATTGGCTTCCAATGCTGTCAGTCAAATTCTGTGATGAGGGAGCACGGGGTGGGGCCAAGCTGTGCTTTCTGTGTCTATGGACACACACAGCCCAGGTCAGAAGCACACGCACACACGTTCAACAATAGGAAGTAGCTTACTATGGTGGCATACCGAGAAAAGGAGGAGCCAGAAGCACCAGTGGAGGACTCAAGAACAGGAGGTTTGAGCCTGTTCTGTGTAATCCATCAGGTAAGTATAACATGTTTGTTTTTTTAATAGCATTTACAATCACTTTAAGTAGTTTTATTTTTTTTTGGATA